CAGGGTGAGGCGGGCTGGGTCCTGCAGCCATGAAGGGCCATGGTGGGGCAGAGATCCACCTGCAGCCTGGGGAGGACCCCATGCCAGAGCAGGGGGATGGCCGAAGTAGACTGTGACCCCATGGGAAACCCACACTGGAACAGGCTCCTGGCAGGACCTGTGGCCCCATGGAGAGAGGAGCCCAGGCTGGAGCAGGTTTGCTGGCAGGACTTGTGGCCTTGTGGGGACCCAGGCTGGAGCAGGCTCCTCCTGAAGGATGGCACTCTGTGGGAGGGACCCATGCTGGAGCAGGTGCAGAGTGTGAGGAGCTCTCCCACTGAGGAGTAAAGAGTGGTTGAGATGTGCGATGGACTGACTGGGAAACCCACGTTCCCTGTCCCCTGTGATTCTCGAGAGGAGGAGGTAGAGAAATCAGGAGTGAAGCTGAGGCCAGGAAGAAAGATGGGAGGAAGGTGTTTTAAGATTTGATTTTATTACTCATTATCCTACTCTGATTTGATTGGTAACAAATTAATTGTCCTGAGTCAAGTCTGTTTTGCCCATGCTGGTAATCGGTGAGTGATCTCTCCCTGTCCTTATCTCGACCCATGAGCCTTATATTTTCTCTCCCCTGCCCAGCTGAGGCGGGGAAGTGACAAGAGCAGTTTTGGTGGGCCCTTGGCCTCCAGGCAGGGTCAACCCACCACAAGCAGTGTTATAAAAACACTGTCTTTACAGTATAAGGTGTATATAGTAGCCTAAGGGAACAGAAAGGTTTTCTACTCAAGGCTTAGAAGTCACCTTTCCAGCATGAGTAGTGTGTTAGAGCTTTGCCTCTCCTTCTGTGAATTACACCTCGTTAGTGGTTTGGGATTTCTTTTGGGGTTTTATCTATAAGTGGGTAAATGGAAAGGGAAAAGAGACATGTAGTAAGGGTATGATCCTCCTCCCGTTGTTCTCAGTGATGAAAACCTTTAAAACACACAAACACTTAGGCCATCTGAAAGGATCCCCAGTCTAAAAGAATCGGAATGGACTTGGTACCTCCATTTCCTGGAGTGATGATGCTACTTAGGCCACTGTGTTCACCCTTAACTTGCATCATCATGTATCAGGGTAGGCACTTAATAAGACACCTTTTATCTCTGAAGTCTAATGATAGTGATGCATGTTTTGGATGTGTTTGTTTTGCTTCATGCTTTGGAGTGTGTATTTTTCACTGTTACTCACATGATTTTTGGTAGTATGGGCTCTCTTAACATCTCATTAATTTTCCATCTGCCGTAGAACTTGTTTCTCCCATGAGGTATATAACAATTTCTTACAGAAGTTTTATATCTTCCAAATCCTAGGGATTCAGACTTCCCTTATGTGTGTGTGGGTTGGGGTTTTTTTTTTTATGGTGGTTGTTGTTGTTTTACCAAACCTGGGTTTAACTCTGTCTTGATTTTTAGTTGTTTTTCTAGTCTTGGTGATTCTAATCCAGTTTGGGAGTAAGGCTGGTATTCAGGAAGCTGTTGATGAATGTAATAATTTAGATACCTAATGCAAGAGGATTGTTTTGGTGAAAAGTGTCTGGAATCCTTCTGAAATAACTCAATTAGGTTCATGAGCTTTTATAATACAGAAGAGCTGTGTTGAATCCTGTGTTTTTTTTGACCACAGTGGATTGTTCTTTTCATAGAATCCAGGAGTGGTTCTTACTTCATGTATTTAGACATAAAAATCAGATCATTAATCACTGAAGTAGCTGTAATTGCTGGTGAAATTTTTCTTTTAGTGAGGTCCCTCTTCTGGATGAGGTATGAGAATATGGAAAGGATGCTTAAAAGACAAATCACATCCTTCGTTTTCCTCCTGCACTTTTATTGGTACACTCAGAGCGGGTGGATTGCTGGTTAATGAAAGCAGCTTTGGGTAATTCAGTGGCCTGGTCTTGGCACTGCTGAAGGCAGTATTTTGCCATGAAGCAGAGTTGAAATTCATACTTGAAATTTCAAAAGTAGTTACATTTAATACTGTTATGGGCTGGATATTTTACTGTCATTTGACTGGCTCCTTCAGTGTCTTGCATTTGTAAGTGGTGGTGGTTGTTTGAATCCGTGAATGTAGGCCTTGTAGTTGGATTTTGTTTATTCTGAGTAAATGTTTTCCTTGTTGAAGTGGAGCCCTTGCCAAAGGTCATCTGTTAGCTACAGTTACAGATCTTAGTGGGTACTAAACTCTCAGTCACTTGAGATATTCTTCCACCTTTTTCTCCTAGTATTATGTGCAGTCAGATTACCCTGCTCAGAAAAATACAAGAGTCTCTTCAGTTATTTACTAAAAACATTGTGTGTTTTCACTGTGCATTCACCAATTCTGTGTGCAAGGAACAGCTATTACAGAACTAGGTGAAAAACTATTTCTTACCTTTTTCATTGTAGGAAGTTAGTTGGTGTGGAAAAAATACTCATCATAATATATCCTGAGGAAGGCTGGCTGAGTGTGAGTGGTCCCTTATGCATGGAAAATTTACGTAGTGTGCTTTAATACAGCACTTGAGTTGACCTTTCATGTTGCACAGAATAGTTGGTTAATCTAGCGGCCTGACCCTTGTGTACACAGACTGTGTCTAAAACAGAAGTACACATTTCAGACAGTTTTGATGCGTAGCATGTGCAGATGACACAGTAAAGAAATGGAGATGGAAGATATGGTAAGGATTATGTTCCTCTTCACCTTTGTAGCTTGTGTCTCAGCTCTGTGGCATGAGACCTGGAAATCCATCTCTTATTTCCCACATTAAAAAAACCCAGAAGCCCATATGCTTGCCTAATGATAAGTTGTCACCAGCTGAACTGAAGCACATGGGTATGGATCCAGAAGTACCTCATACTGCTGCTGCTGTACTTTAGCCAGATGTCCGCGTTACGTGGGAACAACTGTATTAAAGCCTCTTGACCCACCAGCTCTTTTCCTATAGAAGCTTCACATCAAACACCACTTTGCCAATACAGCTTGTTGTTATTAATTCATTATACTGCCTGCAGGCTCCCTTCCCCATGTCCAGCAGCGCACAAGGCACTCAGGTCCACAGATGAATTAGAAATGTCCAAGTGTGTGACTTGCTGCTGCAGTGGTCTGACGCTGAATTCCTGAGGGGCACGTAGTTGGTCAGATACAAGGTCTTGCTGATGGAAAATATCAGAACCCACGAGAACGCAATGCTAATCTCTGTGGGCGTGTATGTGGCCTGTCTTCTAGTGAGGCTGTTGATTAAAGAAATCACATCTTCTGAATGTTAAAATGTTAATATTTATATTGTTATATTGCAGGAAAAAATCTGTTTTTCTGTTGTCAATTTTAGCTGTGTGTCTGACCCTTTTTTAGCGATTTCACTTACTCCTCTCTGACTTTGTAGGTTGAGTTTGGGTACAGGCTGACGGGGTCCTTGGATGGGGTTTATACTGCTGCTTGTGTTTTTTCTTTAGTTTTTTTTTTTAAGAGAACATGTACTTGGAACTGTAAAATAGAGGGGCTTAGGAAAAGTGCCCATGACTCTTTAAAAACCTTTCAAATCACCAGCTTTTATATTAAACCACTCACATTTGCTTAAAATAATCGTTTCTGTATTCATACCTGAGAAGATGAAATTTTTAGCCATTTGCTGTGTACCTTGCTTCAATTTTGACCGTTATGCGTGTTCTGTGCAACATCTGCTGTTCACTGCTGTATTAGAGAGTGGTTTTTATTGGGGCAGATTCCTTAACATATCACTAAGTGAAAAGAGAAGACGAAAGCTTAAATACAACATAACAAATACTTCAGATGACTTGTTAGCCGTATCTTTCCAGTGAAATTCTTGGACAGTCACATCACTATGAAAATGATTTTTGGGTTTAGTAGAGAACTTACCCTGTCCTCTGCAATCTGTTTTTGAACAGTGCGTTCTGGTCCGTCAAGGTTTGTGCTGGATGATGTGTGGTGATGTTGCTCTTAAGGACTGTAGCCTTACACTTCTTACTCCCAGCGTCGATGTGCGCAGGCAGTGAAGGAATGAGCAGTGTGGGAAGGCTTTTGCATCGGTTCTGTTTTATTTGTCTAAATTAATGCTCAGAGTTGTACAATCTGTGTTGATGCTTCAGAGTTCAGTGTGTAGGTGCTGGCTTCCCAATCATACAGGCTTTCTTAGAAGTCCTTCATCTTGCCAACCCGTAAGTATTTACTGGCTGTTTTTTTCATTACTGCTGTGTAGGTGGCAGTGGAAAATACCTGCCCTACCTGTAAATTTTACTGAATTAAAATGAGTTGCTTTGCACAGGTGTAACATAAAAATTGGGTAACCGGTAGAGATATTTAGGACACCCAAACATTAGCTTCACAGAGTACATCTGTGGGATCTGTAGGCCTCCTGGTCAGTTATTAAACTGCACAAAGTGGTTTATTGATGCTCAGGGAAGCATGTTATAAGGCAGCTTTCGTCAAATGCTGTATGGAAGGCCAGTAAGTGCAGTGCAGCCGATACATGCGCGTATCAGTAGAAAATTATAACCAAAACCAACCCAGAAGGGTGATCACAGCAATTTATGACTGAGCAACTGTTATTTTCTGGTTCATTTTGAAAGAGTCTTTTCGGAGGTTTGTCAGAGAAGGCTGCCTTTGCCTTGCCCTGCTCATATAGTGCCACTGAAATCAATTGGCCTTCTTGGGTGTGCAGCGAGAGCAAAGGCTTTTATTGACAGATGCCAGCAGTGTCTGCAGATGATCATTTCTGTATCCTAGGTCTGTCCACCTGGTCCCAGCATTCCAGATCTCGACGTCGGAGGACTTCGAGTTCCAGACATGAAGATCGAAAACCTTCTGAGGTATTTCTGGGATTTGATTAGAATTTTGTTACATCCATCAAATACAATGTGTTCTGGTAATGGATCCGTTTCTTCTGATTTACATTTTCAAGAAATCAAAAAGCTGGCACCAACACCGCTCTCCTCCACCCCCCCCCCCCCCCCCCCGTTCTTTTCATTTGCCAGGAGATTAGGGAGTTCAGCTGTTGGCACAGCCCCTGCCAGCACCAGTTTGTATCTGTGAATTTTGTTACAGTCTGACACCTATTCAATATAGCTGTGGAGTCCTTCTTCTAGTATTTTAGGAATCAGGGTGTATTTGTAGCTTGATTTGTGAAAATTTATATTAGGAGCATTTATTTCATAATTGGTGTTGGTCCTTGGTATGTGATCTGTGTTAAAAGTGCTTGTCAGACTAGAAACGTGCTTCCTGACTGTTCTGTCTTATGTAGCTCTTTGAGGAAATCCTGTCAGGGGAGATAGAAATCTCTGAACTTTCCAGGAGGGATCAAGCGTTAGTAACACATAAATGCGATCCAGTTCTTTGGAGATATTCTTGCTGGATCTCCCTATTTTCAGGCAAGTACTACACTGTGGGCTTTGCGGAGGCTGCAGAGAAAGCATTAACTTTGAGAGGTGGAATTTCTTCACTGAACTAACTTGTCCAATACATGTATTTCTGATGCATTAGCGGGTGATGGGTGTTGAGAAAAAAAATGCTTTATTAATCTCCTCAGTGACAGTTATATCTAAGTCCCAGAGAAGAGTTTTCAGAAGAATCCCATTCATTGTTCAATGTGAACTACACGTAGTACTGGTGTCTTCAAATCTTCTGATTGTTGGCTGTTAAAGACCCTTTTTTTTGTGGATGTGGAGACCCCTGGTGAGTTTATTCTTGTTGGTGATAGACCTGCTTTCCTTAGTTAGCTTTTGAACATCCGTTAGAAGGAGCCCCTTTGACCCTGTTTTGAGAAGTACCTTACAAGAGGCTATGAGGAAATAATCTGAGATAATTACCAACCTTGCTGCTGGTTTTGTGTGCCTCTGTTTTCTTCTCTCCCTCTCCTTGCATTTGTTGTCAGCATCTCTGCGATTTTGTGCTGTTCTCTCTTGTTTTCTCAGCCTGGATCACATACTACCCTTCAGCTCTGTTCCATAGTCTTTTCCCCCTTCCTCCCCCCATTTGCATTGTCTGCCCACCACAGCCCACTATTCTGATGATGAGTGCTGGCAGAAAAGTGGCACTTGCTAAACTCCCCGGCGGAAAGCCTGGTCTCATTGAAGCTGGTGGCAAAATTCCCACTGACTTCAGCGTGGCCAGGGTTTCACCCTTCAGCTTTGAAGTGTTCAGCGCTTCTGAGAGCCAGCACTTCTGTAAGCTCTGCTTTGCTCTGGGCAGTCTGATTGCATCAGAAATTAGAGCAGAAAGAATGGTGTCACAGGGCCACTGGCCTGGGAAGGAGTTTCTTGGCTTGTCAGGTGCTGCATGAGCTTTGCCTTTGAGGGAGTTTTGTGACAAATTTATCCAAGAGCCTGAGTTCCTTTGGCTCAGGGACTGAGCAAGCTTTGCGTCCCACTTTATGTTTTTGTTGTCTTTTCATTTGACATTTGATTGCTTTGAAGTGCGGAATCCCCTGGCCAGCTGTGCCTGTTTGTTTTGTGAGCCAGTTTACTTTGTGGCTTATGTTCCATTTCTTGACTGGAGCCTCACAGGACTTGTAATTCGTTTAAAACATTTCATTATAGTTCGTTACCTGCATTCACCCGTCCCTTCATATGGTGATACTGTTGTTTACTTTTTAACACTGGCAGTTTTTCTGAACATGTCCAGACAGGAGTTAAGAAAAACATCATGATTTGATGCTATTTTTCTGACAAAAGCAGAGTGGAAACCGAAACATGCTGAGACAGAAGTGGGATAGTATGTGTGTGCTGGGAGGGAGGAGAGGTTTCAAGATGTGCAGTGTGGTAAAGCAGGTCACACTTTGAAATATTCTCCAAAGTGTGGTTAACCATCAGGTTCGCTGTTTCTCTGAAACACTTGCCCAGCATCGCAGGGAATCTACTGAGACTGCGGGTGTGTGGACAGCACGTGACAGAAATCGCTGTCCTGGGGAGACCTGCCTGGTTGGCGCTATGTGAAGGGCTGGTTCTTCTCAGCCATATGCAGCAGCTGGCTGGAGCTAAGGTGCAACAGCCACTGTCGCCATCGCTTTGGGCCTGGGTAGGGGACCGGGATTTGTCACTTTGCCCCGTTAGCACCCCCATGAGAGGACCTGGGAGCACTGCCCTAGTGATCTGTCTTTCCCTTTGGAACTCGGCAATGTGGTCTGGCTGATGTGGTGTTGGACTCTGGCTACCACAAACTGAGAAGTCTGCAGTCTTTTCTTACCTCTTTCTTGTCCTGGTGGTGCTTATTTTCTGTCACCTGGGTGCTTTTTAACCCTTTCCTTTGAACGTGGCATGGAGTAGTTACAAATCTGTGGTTGTGGAGGTGAGGAGTGCCGAGTGCAGTTGCTGTAGCCTACAGCAGCCTTGGCTGACGGGGAGAGCAGGGTGGGGCGAGCTGGAAGACCTGTAAAGACATGCAGGCTTGCAGTTCTGATGCCTGTGACAGCACCCTTTGCTTTCTGCAGTGCTGACAGGCAGTGGCAAACCAGGTTGAAGCTGCCACAACAGTACCAGAGCATGCCTGCTGCAAGAGCGAATCCCTTTTTATTTCATGCCATGGCTTGTTGAAGACAACATCGCTGCTTGTTTGTGGCTGCTAGCCCGAGTTGCCTGCTGATTTTAGAGGTGGATGCCTTGGTAAAGGCCGAGTAAAATTACAGCTGTGATGCGGAGGTGTCTATAGCTGATCGAGTAAAAAGCACCTGTGCTGAACGTGGGGCTGCCACTGGAATTCCAGTTCAGGTCTTATTTTATTTGATATTTGGGGTTATTATTTTTAATACTTGCACAAAGAGTCATCTCCTTAGAATTTCCTCTTGCGGCTGGTCATGGTAGAGTCATGCCTTGATTTCTACCACAGGGAATTTCTAAAATGTCCTTGGGTTAGTCAGAGCTCCAATAATTAAAAAAAACCCAAAAAACCTTGGAATGAAAGTGAGCCTTCCTTTCTGCTGCTGTTTTAAGACACAAAGGTCCTGCAGCTTTCATTGCAGCCAAAACGGATGTGCAAGTGGGTAGCACCTTTTAGCATCACCATCTCCAGCGCAGGGGGAGTGCCAGGACTCGTAGTGAAGCGAGCTGGAAGCTGTTCTATCAATATCTGCACCTTCAGCCACCCCTTTCCCTGTGCTACACGTGAACTGTCTTGCAGTGGGCTGGGTTAGTTCACTGCTGGTACAGTGACCGTGTTTCACACTGTGCTCTGTGGTTACCCTGAAGCTGTGAATCATAGAGTGTGAATATCAAATGTCAGTGTCTTTTTCTCTCTTGGTCACTCTCTTTGCAGGTGTTCAGAACGGACCTGATCACTGCCATGAAGTTACATGACTCGCTCCAGCTGAACCCCGATGAATACTGTGTGCTGGCAGACCCTTGGAGGCAGGAGTGGGAAAAGGGAGTTCAGGTGCCAGTTAGCCCAGGGACCATCCCGCAACCAGTAGCCAGGTATAGTTTGGAGGAATGTAAACAAATGCATATATGTTTACGCTAGCAGCTTATGCCTACATTGCCTTGGCTTCTTGCGCTTTATTCCACAGTGCCTAGCTAGAAAGGTTGTGGCTCTCTGAGACAAACCGTAACCTGCCGCAGCGTTTTGAGTGGTTGAGGAGGTCAAGAGTCAAGCCTGTTCTGCCTGTGTGTTGAAATATGAATGTCAGAGAACCCTTTTGGGCATTACAGGAGGATGGAGTGTGATGACAGAACCTTAAAAATAGCTTCTGCTTTTAAGCCCAGACTTGACCTCACTCAGCATTGCTGGGAGAGCCCTTGTCTGATGCTTCTGGTGCTACATTCTAAGCCATAGGTTCCTTTCAAGGAAGACTTAGACAAGCCAGATGGAAGGGCTAGTGAAAATGGAGTATTTATTTTGTTTTCATGTTATTTTTTTGGTTGTTTCATTTACTAACTTAGGAAACAGTTTGTTGTACAACATTTCAGCTGTTAAAAGATGCGCATGTAACTACATCCATGAATGTGAGATCTTCTGGCTCTTATGCAAGAAACCCTTATTTTCCTTACCTTGTTTGTTACACTTAGGTATCGTTTTGTGTTTTAAATGAAACAGTACCCTCGTAAGGGCAGGAGTGTGCTGCAGCCCATCTATCTAATGCTTAGTTGGGACTGGAGCTGGAGAAAGTAGGAAGAACAAGGATTGTTGCCATTTAATCATACTAGATCTCTTTGAGTAAGTGCAGGCTGGCCCATAAGGCATTACCATATGATCCACCGGTGCTGGTGGGGCCAGAACAGCCCGGTCTGATACACAGCAAACAACTCTGGGTGACACTACACTGCTGCTGTTCGGTCTGCATCTGTCAGCTTTAACCTTGGAGTAGGAGTTCCTCTGTGCAGTGAGGAACTTACTCGAACATCAGGTAAACCCTTTCCTTCCATCTGAAGGACTGGGCTTGGAGCTCCAAGGAGAACTTGGCATTTTCCTCTCTGCTGCGCAGTTTAGCACATGGGAGCATACGGTTTCCCTGCAGTGCTTGCAGCCTGCTCCACGCTGACCTCAGCCAGTCCCTGCACAAATGCACACACACGTGTGCTCACCTTGTCTTGGCCTTCCTCCTTTCTCTTTCAAGCATCTCCCAAGGCTGCAGGAGGGCCAGGAGACCTGTGGACTTTAGCAGACGGAGACCTTCCAGGGGATCCCCACCCTGTATCTTTCAGGGAGGGGGTTTGGTGGCTATGTGAGATCCAGGTGCTCACTTAGGAGAGAGCGTTTCTCTGCCAATGGAGGTGTTGCTCTAAATTTATTAAAGGAGATGGGGAAAGAAGGCACCCACAGTTGTAGATGTCAGCACAGAAGGCACCACTCTTTTTTAGCTGCTGAGCTATCTTGTATGGTCCTGTTGATGAGCACCTGCTGCTCAGAGTGGCCCTTGATGGCCAATTATTACCCTGTTTGCTCCCTCAGAAAACATGTGGAGAGCTCTGCCATGGCAGAGCTGGAGTGCTGGAACTGTTCTGTGCCTGACTGTGGGAGGGGAGGGAGAGGTTCTGTAAATTGAATCAGCAACAGTCAAATAGTCGCTGGTGTAGAACAGAAGCAAAATACAGTACAGAGAGCTGATGCTGATGGGGTACATCATAGAGAATAAAAGGTTTTGGCCTTGTAGCCACCGGTCAGGGCAGCAAGAGTAGGTTCAGGGGTGTGGGAAAAGGAGTGAGTCTGGGTGGTGATTCAGCATCAGCATTCAGTCACATGGGAAATTCACTTGAACGTGTTGGTTGGTATGTAGTAAGTGTTGCTTTTTTTTAAACTTGTTTCTGTCACAGAAATAAAGAGGTGAAGGTGGTTTATTTTGAAGCTGAACTACCTGTGCTTATTTCTTCTGCACCACTCCAGTGGTGTTCAGAGAGCATGTTCAGGGTGCTGCCCAGAGGTTGTGATTCCCACATGGAGAGGTGCTTGGGAATGAATTTATGGAACAGAAGATTTGGCTAGCAGTGCCCAGTTTGAAGTAAATTCTTTGTGAGATGTAGTAGTCTGTGACGTTTTAATGCTGTGCAGTGTGACCAGGAACAGTGTGGTCAGTGCAGTTAGGCTGGCAAGGTCATTCAGGTTCGTATGCTCACAGTCCTTTATGCACCGCTGAAGCCCCAAATTTAGAATTTGGCTCTTGCCCATGATGTCTCAGATTGTTGTGTGAAATAAGCTAGATGAGGGGAAGATCTAGGGCTGTGCGGGAGACTGAAATAGGTAGAGGATTTACCGAGGTCTGTGTGTGCGGATACAATAGCGGCAGATCAGGGTCTTCTGATAGGAGGAGTTAACATGTTCAACCTCAGAATGGGGGCAAAACAGGGTGGAGGACGTCCTGCTTGATGTGGAGCTGAGGCTGTTCCCAGCAGAGTGGTGTGATCTCCTCCCTTGTAGCACTAGGGCACCAAAGAATCATCAGCACTGGTGCTGCTGGAGCCATTTGGCAGTGTGGCCTGTTGCTCCTGGAGGCACCAGCGATGCATCGTGGGGCAGGTTTCATCCAAACCAGATGTCAATGTGTGCAGTGTCCTCTGCTGAGCGGACTGCACTACAGGGTGACTGACAGATTGACTTGCTGTTTGGAGGCAAGTCACCAGCTTGCTGGTAGAATGCCTGCTGTCCCTGGTGAATTGGGCGGCTTTGCAAAGTGGTGGCATTGCAGGAATCTGACCTAGAACCAGTTATGTGTGGTAGGTACTTTCCTGTTTCCTGGTCCAGTGCCTGTACTCAAACAATATTTCAGTTGGCTTGCAGCTAAAATATGCTTTCATAGTTGGTTGTTGGCCAACTGGAACCTCCAAAACCTTGGAGAGGGTAGTTTCAGCAGCAGCCGATTAATAATCGCGCTTGGCCCAGCATGACATTAGTGATTGTGAAAGAGGAGATGCAGACCCGGGATGCCAGAGCTTGGATCTGCTTGGGTAAGTGAAGGCGAAGCTAGTGCCAATTACTGATTCCCTGTGGAAAGTCGTCTGAATTTTGCAAGTGGGCATAGCTACACATGTACAAAAAAAACCTCCAAAACCGTTCAGGAGAAACATACTGTCAGAAAGAAAACTTGAAATATAGCAGGAAGTACTACTTTTTTCCTTGGATCGTCTTGATCTTTGTATTGTAGTTAAATTGATTGATTGATTGATTGATTGAAAAAATGTCTTAAACCAGAGTTTAACATCTGTGTATATGGCAGCCATCACTACATAAATACAGTGCTCTTACTCTAGCTGTAAACCAGTGTGAATTTGAGGTGAGAGTAAGCACAGCTCTATCCTCTAATCTCTTCATGTCATTTAGAAGTCTGGTAATGAACTGAGTTTCTAGACAACTCCCATTAAATGTCTTATATTACTGCCAATCCTTTACAAAAGTGCGCTGAGCTGATTTCCCATCTCAGGGGTGCGAGACGATTGCTTAGATGGTCAGATAACTGCCGGTGGTTGTTAGTCACTCAAAATGAGGCACTTGGAATTCTCTAGAAACAAGTCTCTCCCAACCCAGCGTACCTGACCTCTGCTTGTTTGTCTGTTTTAGGATTGTGTCTGAGACGAAAGCCGTCACATTTACGCGTCCCAGGAAGTATATTGTCTCCTCAGGTTCGGAGCCTCCAGAGCTAGGATACGTTGACATTCGAACCTTAGCAGACAGTGTGTGTCGCTACGATCTCGATGATGTGGACGTAGCGTGGCTGCAGGTTGCCAATGAAGACTTCAAAGAAATGGGTGAGCACAAAGTCCTTCTGTCTTTGTTGCCTTTTTGTTTGTAAAGCTGGCAATCTTAAGAATAGTTTTAGGGAGAGCAGCAGTGTGAAGAGACGACAGAGGTAGGAATAGTGAGTAATCATATGAGTTGGGGTGGCCACAGGAAACCAAACCTGATGCGACTGAGCAAAGATACATGCTTTCATAACTGCGGAGCTGTGTCTGCTTCGACCAGGTCAGAATCTGGCCACATGGGTTTTTTTTTTCTCTGCTGCTTTCCATTTCGTAAAGGGGTTCTCACGAAGTTCCCATTTTGCCATCAGGGTCCTTGAGGAGAACATCAGATTGACCATTCAAGTAGTTTTTCCAGTTAGTCCTTTTTCTTATTTATTTTTCTCTGTGTCCCATCTCCGTATCATCACTTTAGCCAGTGGTGTTGAGTGTGAAGAAGGTAGACAAGGAGTCTTGGGATGTTTAGAGAACCCACGCCAGCTGAACTGTGCAGGGAGTGAGACCGTAAGGAATTCCCACAGTGATTTATTGGAGGAACCTCCCAAACCTTACCGGGACCATGTGTTCCAGTTTAGAAGCAGGAAGAGGAGCAGCCCCAGGGGAGCAGCTGTTGCCTTTTCTACAGGGTGGCACGTGTGTGGGAAGGGGCAGGGGAGCCAGAACAGGCATGTTTCTTTGGTGTGTGCTTCAGGAGGGGTTTCCATGGAGCTGAAGGGGTTGTAAGTCGGCACAGAACTTCCGCTACATTGTTTAGATAAGGGAAAAGCTGCTGTGCCCGATGGGAGAGGTTTGTACAGGGTGGTGAACACTTGATTTTTGGTTTAGCACTGTGGCAGTGCCCTGCTCTGGGTTCCAGTTCAGTCATTCCTGGTTGTGGCCCATACGTGGCGTGGCCCAAGACCTGGTAAACCACAAAGCAGGATATCCTGAGGTTATGCTTATTGTAGTGATTTATGTATATGGAAATTCTGGTGCTAAACTGACTTTGCAAGAGGAAAAAAATTGTTTGGAGCAGCAGGATGGCTGGCTTTGGTTTCACCGGTGTTTGTGTGGCATGACCTTGTGGTAAAGGTTGGTGTGGTACCAACTTCGAAGTATCAGAGCTGGCTCATTGTCGGGCCAAGTGAGAGGTGGAACCCAGAGGGGGAGGCACTGTTCTCTTTTTTTGATATTTTTCTTGCTGCTTTTATGATAGATACTTTTTCAGGGATATAATAGTAATTAAATGATCAAATTTGCGTTATAGAATACTGAAATGTAATCAGCCTGTAGCTGTGGTGTCATGGCTAACTTTCTGATGGATGCTGCTTGAAAAGACCAAATCCCAGATTCGATGTTGCCTTTGTTTATCATCCCAGATTCGATGTTGCATTTATGACAATTGTGTTTTTCACATTCTAAACCAAACAAATGTATTGGTGTAGCAGGGTCTGAGGGAGCCCTTTGTTGGGTTGGAAATTGTAAAAAACCAACAACTGTTGTTAGAAACTGCAAGTTTGCTCTATGTATCACAGCAGATTTTGTCATTGATATCCCCCCTCCACCCCCGTCACTTTTGGTTCCAAACACTCTCAAATCTTTCCCCAGAAAGTCAACATCTGGGTTGCAAACTTGAAGCAAAAACCATAGACAGTGCTGGCCCAGAAGGAAAAACAAGAGCAAGATGGGGAAGCCAAAATCAGTTTATGAAAGTTTTTCTCAGGAAAGACTGATTTTTGGATACTCCACTTCTATTAGTTAAATACAGTTACAAGATGACTTTGACTTTTTAGTTTTTTACAGTTTCCTTCACGTATGCTGGAATAGGCACGATTGTCCGGGAGTGCCCCGCATACGTGCGGGGTTGGCTCTGTCTACTCAGGCGTTAAAAAAGAAGCTGGAATGGTGTGTGGTGGTGGTTATCACTCTTTAGTAACCACTCTTGTTTCCCAGGGATGCCTCAGGTGGCTGAGTACACGATGGAAATGGTCATAGAGGAGTTTGAACAACGTTGTTACGATCACATGAATCACGCTATTGAGACGGAAGAAGGACTTGGCATTGAATACGATGAAGATGTTGTCTGTGACGTCTGTCAGTCTCCAGATGGAGAAGATGGCAATGAAATGGTGTTTTGTGACAAATGCAATATTTGTGTGCACCAGGTACGGCGGCCAGAGCACAGTGGGGGAGCGTAGGGGTGATGACAAACTTTCCCAAGCCATTAAAGATAACGGGTCGGATTTTTTTCCAGTGACAGACATCGATTGGTTACTTTCTTGCAGAGTTCACCATTGTGCGGTGGGATGAATTCAGAAATTATGTAATTGAGAAGGAGAATTATTACGTGTGATTCTACAAATGTCATGCTAAGAGGGTGAAAAGTGGTATTGTGTCTGTGTGGAGGAATTTACAAGCTGAGGAATAGCCTCTTCTGCCTTCTCACCTGGTCACTTTTCTTGCTATATCCCTTTCCTCTCTCTGCACACTTCTGGGGCTAACACACCTTTCATACCAGCAACATAGGCTCACTCAGCAGAGTGGGGAAGAAAGAACTTTCAGGCAATCAGTAGGGACACAGATGGGATTTATTATAGTTAACTTAATGGAGAACCTACTGACCTGAGCTGAGCTAATGAAGCACTACTATGTGCCACCTTTTTGTGGCAGTTAAAGTCCTTACTAGCACGGAACAACAGGTAGAATTTTAGCCTATCTATTTCCGTGGATGCTTCTTACTGTGGCAGGTGCCTTCCTATCAGCCTGTCCTTCCTTCCCAGCTTTAAGAAGTTTGCTTTGTCATTCAGCAATTGGAAAAGTGCATTGTGTGATGAGCAAGATGGGTGTTTTCTTGCATGTGTTGCTTAAATTCATTTGTACTGATGATAAAGAAATACGCCTATGGCAGCTGTAAGGTACAAATCACTATCTTGCAAGATACCCCAGGTGCATGTTTTTATACCTGTAGGGGTTCCCTGTCCTTAGTCTCTATCAAATCCAAAACTTAGGAGGGTGAAAATTCACAGTAATTTGGACGCAGGTCTCTATAAATATGCAACCTTTTAGAAAAAGTGATCTTAGTTGCTGTTCTGCACTCTTCCCTCTGAACAGAAGTAAACCCCTGTGGTTTGGAGTTTGAATATTGCACAGCAGAGCTCTTCAGTCTGTGGTTCTTGCCTTTTGAATTAGATACAGTCCAGTTCCTGTTACCTGCAGTCTTTGTGATGCTGCACTTCATCCCAGCTCACTGCTGGCAGGGTTGTCTGTCCAGAGTCCCCTTGCTCTCGGCTGGCAAACACAGTCTTCACGTTCCTCCACAAGCCAATGTTTCTGTTGGGTTAGAAATTCCATAAAGAACATTGAGAATTGCAAGAAGCTATGTAGAAAGAGCTAAAAGGTAACAGAAACTCATGTTGTTTCCTTTCTTACCCTTTCTGTACATGGGAATACAGGCATGTTACGGGATCCTGAAGGTGCCGGAAGGCAGCTGGCTGTGCAGGACCTGCGCGCTCGGCGTTCAGCCCAAGTGTTTGCTGTGTCCCAAGAAGGGTGGTGCCATGAAGCCGACCCGGAGTGGCACAAAGTGGGTCCATGTTAGCTGTGCTCTCTGGATTCCAGAGGTAGGTGCCGATCCTCTGGGAGTTCAGGGCTGCAGTGATAGTGGGAGAGACAAAATCTGTCAAGAACATTGTACAACCGAGTGTGTGCTGGTATGAAGAGTGTAGCATCTATATGGTACTTCGTCATCTGTAGAGAAAGTAATTATGTTACCTTTGTCAATCAAAATCAGGCCTCAAAAAATTAGGCCTTTGCTGCGGGCAAAGCTCATTGAACAACCACACAAAGTACCATTTTAATGTGTAAACAGAGCATCAAAAGTGAATCAGGAAGGTCAGATGTGACAGTGAGAATCCTTGTGAGTTCTCATAATTAATCTTGTGTGATAATTTTAAATTGGAGGGCTTCACCTTGAAGCTCTTTTGTTCAGGCAGTGAAGAACCGAGTATTTTAAAAAGGAATATTAATTTTCTTAGTTCCTTATAAACTGAGAGACTTGGAACAGGCTAATTTTGCATATGCACACACAAAATTTGATTTCTTTGATAGAATCGTTTTCCTTTTCAGTTATGAGCATAATAGCCACTCTGTGTCTTTTAACCTTTTTTCCTCTTAGGTGAGCATTGGAAGCCCAGAGAAAATGGAGCCCATCACAAAGATTTCTCACATTCCCAGCAGTAGATGGGCACTGGTGTGCAGCCTTTGTAATGAAAAAGTTGGAGCATCTATACAGGTAATATAATTGCACAAACATCCGTGTGGTTTGTTCTGTCAGCTTTTAGTAGATACACCAAATGTGTACCCGCAGTAAACTCTGGTTTCCTGTTTGTTACTACAGACTTAATTGCACCCAAAATGCTTTTGAATGTTAGTGTGCTCTTACTTTCTAGTAAAATTTCAGTAATAGTCAGGGCATCTCATAAGACTTCCTAATTTGTAGATACACTGATACATTTATTAGTACACTGAAATAAAACTGAAATGTTGTTGAGTAGGGAAAAAATCCTGTTATCTCTGTGAGGTACCACATACAAACCCAAAGCTTGAATGCTGAAAGCTTCTGTGCTGAAACCTGTCTGTCCTTCCCTATTTAGTGACTTCTAAGACGAGTTGGATACCACAGAGGGCGCTGAGTATTTGATGTCACAACCTGAATTTCTAAGGTGCTGAGCATGCCCAGCTCTCAGCAAAGTCAGTGGAAGTGAACACCTTAACTTTGGTGGTAAAGCCAGTTGTAGCTTTGAATTTCTCACTTTAGATGCTACTTAACACTGAACTCTTGTGGCTCTACCTATTTTTCCTATAACTATTTGGTCCAGCTTTTAAGTTGCTGAGGAGAACGTCTCATCATTTGATACTGAGCTTTTTGAGCAGTAGGAAAGAAGCAGATTGCTTGACTGGTCTGCTCTGAGATTCAGGCAAGCCACGAGCTGAGGAAATGAGTCCCGTTTCCCCCATTGATCGTGGGTAGGTTCTGGAACTCTTGGTTCCAAAACTCTCCTGGGTGTGAATTTCACACTGGTGTAGCAGCAGTGCCACGTTCTGGCTTCTTGGCCCTCACTGGAGCTTGGGGATGATGACTGCCCGAAACAGCAAGATGAGGCAGAATCAAAATAGACGTCTAGTCTTCATAGTTCCAAAAATAAAGATTTCCCTATGCGATAAATAATTAAACTACAAAGCCAGCACCACATAGCCATTGGATTCATACCAACAACTCACATTCTTGGGCCGGTGCCAGTTTGTCTCATTGCACACTCCTGAAATTCTCTCTGCAGTTTCAGTTGGATTTGGATTCAGGCTTTCTCACCGTAGCCTGTGAACGGTGGCTGTTAAACAGCTGACTTGATCTGCACCAGGGCATTTCAGGCTGGGCGGTGTGAGTTCACGTGCGTATTTGCGTTGGGCTGTTAGCTGTGAAGCAAGTGCAGACCCTTTACAGTGGAAAATCACTCAGAAATATTGAACAATAATTTTAAGAACCATTTTAAAATATAGAGAGATTGTGACAAAAACACTACCGAGCCCCAGATTTTTGAAAGAGGAGATCCTTGGTTTCCTAAGGCAAGAGACTAAGCTTTGATCTGCCTCGCTGAAGGACGAATGATGAGTAAGGGCAGGTGACCCACCCAGGGCAGTGTTGTGATTGTGTAGAAAAAGATGATAAAATGTAGCTTAGTGTTGTGGTAGTGTTTTTCACCTTCAAAGTGCTTCATATACCTCAGCACAACGATCCTCAGGACATTCCCCGAGACAGATAGAAAGTTTGTGCTGTCTCACAGTAAGTCTGAAGAAGCAGAGTTCCTTCTCTTTGTGGCTGGCCTAACGTTACCGGATCCATGACGGGAAGACCAGCATTCAGACACAGAAATGGCTGAAGTCCTACACTTTTTTAAAATTAGGTTTTATCCATTTCCTTTTTCCCTCTGCTCTGAGTCATTTGATGAGGTTGCCTGAAAAGGTTGTAAACCAGCCATGCAGCCGTGAAACCTGTCAGTCTGGTTCCATTTCAGCAGTGTATAAAATAGTAAATGTTAAGTCGAGAAAATAAATCTGCCCACAGCATATAAATCTGCAGTCGTAATAACCTCCTTGTAGAGCTGCCTGGGCCACTGTTACAGCATTCAAACTGTTCTGTCCATTCTCCAGACCTGTTCCAAGGGTTAACTCGGAGTAGTTTAAGTTGAACACTGAGTATTTGTGTCTGTTAGTGTGCAGGGCAGAGGGGAGTGTCCTCCTGTATTTATTCTGATACCACCTCTCCTTCCTAATGATGACACAGGATGACATGTGGGCACGATAGCTGCCACTTCAGACAGTTCTACATTTGAAATGATGGGGAAGGGACAAACATTACAGCTTTGCCTGACACTTCATAGGAGTTATGTAAATCTTGGTGTCATTAAAGCTAGCACTGAGAAATATTTAGATTTGTGTTGGAAGATTTTACACCGCAGAGAAGAACATGATACAAAGCCACTGCAGTAGAAAGGAAGTAGCATTAGCTGGGTGAACTGAGAGAGAGATCCTCCAGAGACGTCGTGAGAGGTGCACAACAAGTAGAAAAGCCGGAGGCTGGATGTGTCAGGTTGGGCAGACAGCAGGTGCAATAACCTGGGGAAAAGGAGACTGCATATTCTCCCAGGTTCAGCTGATTTCCTTCCGATGAGACAGGCTTTCCCCTCTTGTCCCAGTAAAACATCAGCCACGCCAAGAGCTGATGAGTCTGAACGACAGCAGCTTGGAAACCATGGCTGAAGTACTCTCCTGCACTGCTTGGTGTTCCCATTGGGCTGCTTTCTCTTGTCTGTTAGTAAGAGAGGAAGGGGCAAAAGATGCTTTTTGGCATTTTGGCATTTTTTTATTCCTTTTATATGCTGATTTTATTAGAGAATGCTCATTTGAAACTGCTGCAGTTTAAACTCTGTGGTACCTTTCTGTGCCATCTGGCTGCTAAGTCAACCTGAGCCCCAAAACCCAGGAGAAAGGTCTTTGGCTTCTTTACTACACCCTGTATAAACATCCTAGCACAATGCCTTTCTCTTTAAGGTCAGATGACTTGGGTTACACATAGTTCTGTTTCCTCCTAGTTAATAGCGCTAATGTTCACCTTAAACTCTTTTCACTGGAGGCAGAGGTGCGAGTTGGTGCGTCTGTGTGGGTGTGTGTAGACGTACGGATGTATTTAAACCTCTCTGTGGCTGGTTGTGGCTGTGACACCATCGTGCAGGGAGAGTTACGTACATTTGAACTGAAGTGCTAAGCCAGCTGAACGAGTGCCCAGCACTCCGTGGCAGCTGGGTCACTGGAGGGGAAGAACAGTGACAAAACATTGAATTTCCTGTTCTCCTCATCCCCCAGGTCAAGTGAACGCTGTAGTTAGCGAAGTAGTGATTGACAGTGATTTAATATTTGACATTATACAATTGGGATAACAGGGAAAAAAAATTCCCCTTGGTTGAGGCCTTTTGGATAGCATGGGTCCAGGCGCTGGGAAGGACTTCTGATTAAAAGTACCAGGCTGTCCTGGAGCCACCGCGATGTTTTTCCTTCTCTCTCACGCTGGCACAGCCAAAGGGGGATCATTCTCCTTTGTGTAACCCTGCCGTGCATGAGTGGCTCCCGGGACCGTAGGAATGCTCCTCTTGTGGATTCGCTGGTTATTGAATAGCGGGACTGGGCCAGGGAGGGGTTAACCACTCCTGTCCCACTGGGCCACTTAATCGCTGCCTGGTCTGCAAGCACTAAATCGTAAACCTAATTAAAAGAGAGCAGGAACGTACATGCAGCTTAGAAGCAGAGCACGGTAACAGGGTTGTTCTTCCAAAGCGAATTGTTTTGAGTTCTTAAATTTATATTTGATTAATTTTCACTTAATTTCTGTAGTGTTCTGTGAAGAACTGCAGAACAGCCTTTCACGTCACCTGTGCGTTTGACCGTGGCTTGGAGATGAAGACCATACTGGCAGAGAACGATGAGGTGAAATTCAAGTCGTACTGTCCCAAGCACAGCTCCACCAAGAAAGTAGATGACGAGGCTTTTGGTGAAAGCCCGGGCCAGGAGAATGGGATGAGAATTCGGGACAGCTCTCTTCCTGCCCACATCGACCCTTTCCACAGCATGGATCAAAACCAGGAGGAGGCTCACAGGGTCAGCCTCCGCAAGCAGAAGCTCCAGCAGCTGGAGGATGAGTTCTATACGTTTGTTGAGCCTTTGGAAGTGGCCAAAGCGCTAGCGCTGCCCGAGGAGCTGGTGGACTTCCTTTACCAGTACTGGAAGCTGAAGAGGAAATCCAACTTCAATAAGCCTTTGATTACCCCAAAGAAGGATGAAGAGGACAATCTGGCTAAACGGGAGCAGGATGTTCTGTTCAGAAGGCTGCAGCTCTTCACACACCTCCGGCAGGATCTAGAGCGGGTAAGCCACGGCACCGCCTGCGCTGGTGCGAGGTGTGCTGGCCTTTGTTAGCCGTTCTCCCACTGACCGCCCTCACGTGCGGCACTCCGTGCGCACCTTAACTCCACGTTGTGGTGTCAGAAAAGATTAACACTACACTTCTACGGAGCACACCAGTTACCCTTGGCCAATTGAGAGTTAGTCTGCAGGGCTAGCAGGTCTTGGCTTGTAGCATCCAGACTCCCTAAAACTGGGTTGTTGTATTTCCACTTACGCTTTTTTAGTGGTTAACACTGATGGCTGTGGACTGTACTGCACACCCCAGCTGGAGCTTTTGTAGCCTTTAAGGGCCTTCTCTGCTCCTTTCCATCTGGGGCACAAGAAGGAAAAGATTGAGACGTACTTTCATTTGCAGCAGATCCGTGTTGCATTGACGCAGCGTAGCAGGATGACGTTTTACTGGACTGGCTGTGTTTGGGAGGCATGTGATAGTCCCCTCAGTTGGGTTTTGAACATATGAAGAATAGCTCAGTAGCATCAGTCTGGTGTGTTAAGTACAGCTGATCCTGTAACAACCTGAATTCCTTCACTTTTGGGTTAACTATTAGACCCAGAAAGAGCAGTGAAATTATTTTTTCACTCCCATACAGCATGTGGCTTGTGTAGGCCATGTACAGAACCCAGCTCAGGAGGTCCTACCTCAGCCTCAGCGACCTGTGGGTAAACTAGAGCCTTTCTTCCAGAACATAGTCTAGTCTTTAAACTGGGACAGCAGATGCTTAGGCATCTACTGCATCCTTTGTAAAGGGTCCTGCTGGCTAATCACTCCTGTAGTGAATTGTTGCAAAGCTTTTTTCTAGCATCAGCTTGCAGCCCATGACCCTTCCCTAGCTCAGCGAGGTACCTGGTGTCTTTTGTTTCTGCTCTCTGTGCTCAAGATATCTTTTAATCTTTTCTTCAGTCAGCTAAGTAAGTTGTCACTATGTTCTCTGCATCTTGAATTATTCTGTATGTATCCTTTCCATTTTTAAGTGTGATGTCAAAACAGGATACATCATTATAGTAAAATTTTTAGGCTGTTATTCCTACTGATTTTACATCCAAGATCACTTGGATAAAGAAAAATAAAAAATGGGACCTAAGTTTTTTTCCTCCTCTTCAAGATTAAGTTGGGTAGACCTGATTAGGAGTGACATCAGTGACAGTGTCACCCATCTAGAAACAGATTTTGAAACTGTGTCATCCAGTTCACCCAATGAAACAGGCACTTGTGTGGACATGACACATGGGTTGTGCAGCTTGGATTGGACAAGGCAAAGAACAGGCGGCTGTGGACTGTATCAGGAAGGTTACCAAGCTAGATGAATCCCTTCTAATTCAAATCCACAGTGTAATGACAGCTACTGAAAAGTACTGGCTGTCCAGGGGCTGGAAAAGTCAAAGAGAGCAGGAAAACAGTCACACTTGTTGAGGAGGAGACATTTAATGGTTGTGAGGTCAGCCTGCAAGGTTGGAATCCACAGGGTACCGCACTGTCTGCAGCTACGTGGTGCTGAGAGGGGAACCTTCGAACCCCCAACGTACACTTCTCGGCCATTCCCTCCCTCATCTGGGAAAGAAATAGCTTCTGATCACTTGGGAGAGCGGTGGTGGGGAAGCTTACGCAGCTGTCCAGCTTAGACGGTCACAGTTTAAGGGCAGAAATGCAGTTTTCTCCAAAGAAACCTGAGACAGTTTAAATAATAATTTTGTTACTGTTGCCAGTGCCTGCTACCTCCGCTGTGCTATGCCGCGAGCAGGCTGGCCATGCATTCTGAGCAGTCATGCTGCCATGGCAGGGGCATCGGAGAGCCTGGAACTGCTGAGAGCTCTCCGCATTTAAATGCTCTTAATTAAGTATAATTTTCTGTTGTGTCTCAAACAACGAGAGGCAAATGGTGCTAGGCTAGTTAATACTGAGGGTATGCAAGCATTTCTCTAGAGTTCCTGTACACATGACTCAGGAGTTCATAAAAGTTACTCCTGTGCTGTGCCCCTCCCAAATCTGATGGCATAATCTGTCAATTAAATGGTATTTAAGACTCTCTTCTAAGAAGCGTGTTGAAGAAGGTTAAATTTAAATACACTGCTAACTCGTTTGAATGGTGTGTGGTACTTGAACTAATTCAAAGTTCAAGTTGACAACATTACAGAAACACAGCTCCTGTAAAACTCATCACCTTGGTGTCTCCTAGGTGCGCAATCTCACTTACATGGTGACCCGGAGGGAAAAAATGAAGAGATCTGTTTGCAAAGTTCAGGAACAGATATTTAATGCCTGCGCAAAGCAGTTGGAACAAGAAGGAGTTTCAGGTATGCTTCAGTGTTCTCTTTTTCACGTAAGACCACAGGCACAAGCATTGAAAGGTTTGGTTACAGGCTAATGACTCATTTTGAAGGACAAACAGGACCTCGTTTATTCTCATTAAAATCTTGTGTAGTCCACCACGCATCAGCAGATGGGAAGGCCAAACAAGCCTGTAGCCGTGATGGTGGGCACATTGCTATAGAAACGGGTGAGTCTGCGCTCTTATCCATGGGGCGCCGAGCGGCTGGCTGCTTCAGATCCTCTCTGCTGTGACTCTTGAATGACTCCTCGTGACAGAGAGACCAGGACTTGCAGTCCAGTGCCATATGGTACCTGTCAGTCTCTGGTTTATTAGTGTCGCTGCGTCAAGGCTGAGTATGTGCTGCTTTGCATCATTGATGGCAGCTGAAGGAAATGAAGTTGGCCAAGGTAGCACTCTGGTGTTAAAACATGGGGTTTTTCTGCCTCATCTCATTGCCAGTAGTCTTCTCAGAAAGATGAGTAACAAGTTCAAAGTAACTGCATTAACTGGATTGTCCTGCAAGTATTCTGTAACTTACAAACCCTCTTTTAGACAGAACTGAACAGACCCACTGGCTGGTTGCTTCCTCTTGCCCCTCTCCGAGGAGTCTTAGCAGATACAGTAGTAGGGCTAGGGTTTGTATTAGCTGCGTCATCAGCTGCAGCACAGCTACAGGAAGGTAAACTGTGCCAGCAGGGTGTTGTGAAACCACCACACGGTCACGTGATCATGACGTAAAGGTGCTGGATGGGCAACCGAACGCCCGTTTATGCCACGGGACATGTCAGGCATGAGGAACAGAGTTAAAATAGGCACATTCAAAAATGGTAGGTACCCAGACGTGGAATGGCTTGACTTTATTTTGATTTGTTTACGTTTAGGCGTGTCATCCTCCTTCTCCTCACTGGAAAGCGCTGTGCTGTTCAACAGTCCGTCTCTGGGCCCCAATGCCCCCAAGATAGAGGATTTGAAATGGCATTCTGCATTCTTCAGGAAACAGATGGGCACATCTCTAACCCGCTCTTTGAAAAAGTCACACAAGAGAGAGAGAGTAAGAAACAGCCCCGGGAACGACAGCAAATCCCTGCTGAGGCAGCCCAGCCAGAGGGAAGGCAGTGCAGCTCCAGGTACCTTTATAAATTTTGACAAGACCTTTGCAGAAACACGGATTGTATCAGCACCGCAAAATAACGGCACAGTTATACCAGACCACGGAAAAAGAGGAGACAGTCGTTCACAGGGTGAGGTGATGAAGGCAGAACTAAAGGAAAAGACTTCTAAACACAACCATAAACCACTGAGACCCACAGAACTCTCTCAGAGGCAGTCGGAAAATAAAAGGGCTGTGAATCACTCCAGTGGTAGGTCAGCACCTGGTACGCGGAGGGATATGGTGCCTACATGCAACGGTGGTCTTGTCAAAGCACACTCTCACCAGACAGTAGTTAAAGTGCCTACGATGCCCACGAGCCCAGTGAAAAACTGGGGTGGATTCCGAATTCCAAAGAAGGGGGAGAGGCAACAGCAGGGCGAGAGCCCGGAGACGTGCCGCCAGAACTCCAGCTACCCCTGCCTGGGTGTGGGCAGAGTTTCACCCAAGGACAGGGCAAAACGCAAGCGGAAGCTTGACAACGAGAACGACGGGTACACCCCCGATGCCGAAATGAGTGACTCGGAGCCGGAAGTGGCTGAAAAGAAGTACAGGCAGCAGAGGCTCAGTCCCAGCAGCACTATCAGCCGAAGGACTGACATTATTCGAAGAAGCATCCTGGCATCCTGACTGGACACAGGGACACTGTCAGCACCGTGGTCAGTAGAATCACTGCCTACAAGTCAACTCTGCATTATTTATTGGTGTGAGAGAAGAGAATGCTTGGACATGGCTACGGACTGACAGGTTGATAACCCATAATACCGGAGTTCTATAAACATGTTTACATGCACTTAAAGCTGGGTTTTATTTTTTTTTTGATCCCATCGTCCGCCCCCCCCAGATCTGTGAGAAGTCTGAATCTCTTTTGTCTGCAACTTCCCTGAGTAAGCAGAGAAATGACATCTCTACTCAACCAGGATTTGCGATGAACACTATGATAGCTCACGAAAGCCTTTTAGAAGGGGCTCGGGTGGGGAGGGGGCAGTAGGCTGCATTCATCCCTTTTAGATAAAAAGCACTGGTACAATTTTACTCCCTTCCCCTGCCTTCTGGAAAAGCACAAGCTCTTAATTCACCCAGCGTGTATTGAATGGACGGTGGTTGTTTAACCACGCTGCACTGCTGAACACCATTACAAATGGCCACTTGCCTGGGATGGTGGTAGGTCAGTCTCCTCTGTTGGCAGAATATTGCTTTCAGCTTGAGCATAGATGGCAGCTCAAACCTCTCCCTCAGCTCCAGAGTTTACATGCAAACACCCCTAGGAGATGAGCAGATTTAACCATGCCGTGATGCTGGAGAAGGAGAAGGGACAGGTCAGGGCTGCAGCTGCCCGTACATTGCGACAGCTCGCAGAGGCTCAGAGTGAGCACAGAGGATTCGCTTCTGAGAAAGGGGGCAGGTGTGTGGGCTACTGCGCCCCGGGATAACCCCTCACCAATTAGTCACTCGCCCGCCTCTGGGAGCCTGATGACAATTCAAGAGAAAAATTCCGAAGGCACGAGGCAGTCGATTTCCCAAAGCCCACCCCAGATGCACTAATGGTATGTATGGGGAAAGCCAGGCGTATGACACTAAAGGGTTGCTTTACAATGGACAGGAATATATATTTTTAAATAGAATAAAATGGAGAGGCAATAAATTGTGATTAGCTCTTTACAGTCAAATGAAAAAAAATATTTCATTCTATTCTGGACTAGATTTGGTGGAAGAGGGAACTCATTCTGATGGTGTACGTTTTTTAAAAACTGCAAATGGCAATAACTAGTAAGCTCTGAGCAATAATATTAACAGATCGTTAGGATGCTGTTCTGTACCGAGTGCACATACAGCAGTGGAGCATTAGCAGGCTGTACGCTGTGGAAGTGTGCACAGATGTAAGTCAGGTATGTACTGGTGAAAAGGTTTTAAGCAGCAGTGTGTTACAGAGACAGGCATAGAGCCCCTTCCCCCGCCCCTTTTCTACTCCCAGCCTGCCCTTACTGTATCCACTCGCTTTTTAACATTAGACCCTTGCCTCCTGAGCAGGGAACGTTTAAAAGACAGTAGAACTCTGCCACAACTGAGTCTTCCAGAAGATTCAATTAAAAAAACCCCAACCAATCAGCAAAACCAAACAGGCTTATGAAGGCTTATTAACACCCTATCATCTTGCTATGCAAGCTATCAGTTAAATATTTCTGCAGAACACATCCCTATCATTTGTTTTAAAACTCTGAAATCATAACTCTTTGATACCTTCTGGCATGATGCTGAGGAAGGGGAATTTTGTGTGAGAGTGTACTTCTAAAATAGCACTGCCAGGCCAAAGAAGTCAGGTGAACTTTATGGGTTAGAGGCAAAAGTCCAACAGGGCAGCAGTGCGTGTGAAATGATGTAGCCAGTCTTGGGTTGTGTTAACAGAAAAGTCCTTATTTGGTCAAACAGCAGCAGGCAGACAAAAGATAACTACAGGTAAGTTCTACTCAACATACAGCAATGTTTTCCAAACAGCCACTGTTATTTTCTGTAAGGAAGAAACTCCTGACCATACATAGGGCATTGTTTGTCAAGCCATAGAGGGAATAATCTAAATTTGGATTCAAAGTAAGCATTAAGCCTCACACCAGTTTAGAAGAGGTACCTTGTTCATTTGCACTATTCTGAATGCTGACATTGTGCAGAATTAATGCCTTATCAGTTTTGCTCCCCGACAATTAGGTTAACAAGCTTTCCAATGTTTCAAGTTAAGCTGAACCAAAACCAAAAGCGCTCTTAAGAGGCCACCAGTGTGACCAGCCCCGTAGGTTAGTTCCGTCTGCCATGCTTAGCGCTCAGTAGAAGAGGTGTCGCAAGCACAGCAGGGACCGGACCAACCCAGCCCTGCGTTTCACTGGGATAGAACCATTTGCCGAAGTTCTGGTTTTAAGCATTACCCTTCCTTGTGCAGAGCGACCAAGAGATCTTTGATTAGGATTGGTGTATTCTGTCAAACTGTAGGCTAGCTGAACTTCTGTCAAATTGCCTGGAATGCCAGCTGTTAGGTTCTCAATGAAGGGTTATAGGTATAGGTTATAGGTTGTGTATAAATCTGAATTTCAGAAGTTTGGGACAATTGTCATTACATTTGTAAAACCTGTACAGAAGATTTTTCACTATGTGCCTAGCTTCGGTGTCCATTCAGCTGACATTAATTAAAAAAGGTGCATGAAGAGAAACAGATAGAAATAAAAAGTATATGTAGAGATGACTATTTTATATTACATGGCCCAATCCTGTATTTATTTTCTCCCCTTTTTGAAGTATTTATAAAGACCTAGCTGAAGACAGATGTATTTTTTGTTAAAATATTCAGTAGAATTGTGCCTTTTTGTCTGTATGTGAATAAATGCTGTACATTTTTGCAGTACCCTTGCCAGCAGTGCTTTAGGATCTGCAGCAGTTCTCTTCTTTGGGTGTTTACGTAAGCGCTCCACTACCACGTTCTGAACAACTTCCATGGTTAAAGTGATCCACGTGAAATGCTCGTTACAGGTACCAAATGCACCCTGCGGTTGCAAGAGAAAGAGGTTTCTGAGGGGACAGTGTAGGGTCTGTTCCTGATGGCTGTGCCTGTCCCACCAACAGAAAACTCGATGCTGCTTTCCTTGAGATCCTCAGAGAGAGGTTGCTTAGCTCAAACAGTTCACATTTGTGGGTTTCTGATGTCCTTCCACGTCCAAAATCTTCATTCATGTTCCACCAGAAGAGGAGCATGAGGGTTGTTACCCGTAGCCCTTCAAGAGGAGTACGCTGAGGGTCCATGCGTGCTGCGAGCTGCCCAGAGTCAGGCAATGCTGACAGAGCATTCGCTGCTGTAGCAGGCTCCTGGGACACACGGCGTGAGGGACACAGGAGCTCCTTTCCCCTTCCTGCTTCTAAACTCAAGATGCGGAAACACAGAGCAGGGCAGGAAAAGGACAAGGTTGTGAGGCACATGTCCAGCAGCACGTCTTGAAAACCAGCTCTGGGTGAAGAGTTTTCCTCAGATGGGTACTTGCAGCACAGGCATTCACACTCTGGGCAGCTGAGGGGCACCCCTCAGAAACAGATTTCAGGGAACAAGGATTAAAGGATGGCCCTCCAAAGAGTTACTAGTACAAGGTCTGCAAGGCACGAGTACAAGGCCGAAAGAGGTTCCCGTAGCTGCCTTACAGCTCCTGCTGCCAGCAGCCTCGCTGAAACACAAGGGCTGCTGGGACTACCTGTGTGAGCCTGTGCCAGAGCCGCGGGCAGCCTGCCAGCCGCTGACAGACACTGTGAAACAGCTTCTGGTGGGCAGTGACAGATCGCTCAGGATCTGGCCTGTGACAGAAGGTGCAGGGCTCTTGGGAAGAGCCAAAATGAAACTCTTACAACCATCACAGTCAGTTTCTCTCACCTGTTGAGCAGAGGCAACCATCCGCCTCGAAACATTCCCTAAATAAACACAGTCAAGAACCAAGTTTCACTCAAGAGAAAGTACTAATAGCACACTGGCAAACCTTTAAAACACTCAAAACCTGGTGTTTGGGGGTTGGGGGGAGGAAGGTAGGGGAAAGAGAAACTGGGCAATTGAAGAGTGAGGAACTAGAGGAGGAACACAGAGAGGAACTAACGTGAAAGAACCAAGCCAGGCGGTTGAAAAGCCTGCTGCTCAGCTCCATGAAATGATCTTGTACCCTGTGGACGAGAGCAAGGCTGACCTAACCAGTGAGCCTCACACGTGAACTGCCTCAGCAAGCACCTTTCCTCCCAAAGGCCAACTGGTGAGCAACAGCCAGCAGTTGCCTCTAGGCACCAAACGGAAACGAAAGGCGGTGGTGTCAGGGTGATGAGCTGAGTGTGACCGCGTTCCCTTCTGTGGTTCTGACAGATGCAGTGGTCAAATTTTAGCTGCTTGGAGGATGAGGAGGACAGGTGAAAGCAGGAAATCTTTTCCTTTCCTATGTCATCTGCCGTAATTGCTCCGCTGCCCCTTAACTCTACTATTAGGTGCTTGTGTCATCACTGCAATCCCTATTCTGGCCAGTAACCACTACACAAGAGCTACACCCCGAGCTGAAGTGAATATACCTGTAATTAAAAGGGAGCCAAGCAGGTGCATTGCTGTGCCTCAAGGAACAAATACTGTGGCTCAAAAATGTACAATTCCTGCACTTTTCAGCCAGGTTTCACTTCACAGCTGGAGCCTCTCTTCAAGGAATGAGCGGGATGAACAGCTCATACAAAACGGCCCAGGCAGTCTGTCAGCATCTCAGCCATGTGTTACACAAATGAAAATAAGGTGCTTGGTACTTACTTCCCTCTGTGTCATTCCCACAGTTGCTTGATGACAATCTCACCCCAGCAGACAGCTGGAGCTTCTGGACAAGGCAGCCATGTTGCTCTGAAGAATCTCTGAAGACCAAGAGGTTGCACTGGATACAGGCACATACCAAACGGAGAATGCACTAGAGAAGGAATGTGTGCAACTGCAGGGAATAGCAACTTCCTCTACGGTGAGCAGAAATTGGTCTTGAGGTTGCATCCATCTTGCAGGGTCAGCTTGAACAGCCAGGTCTTCCAGAAGTGGCACAAACTCTTACTTCCATGGGGTGATCAACCCAGGTCTGTCCTCTAGAAGGCAG